GCCGAAACCAGCAGTGCTCTCTCAGCAGGGATGCAAAATAATGCCTCGAATGTTTCCGTCAAGATGTAAATGCTTGAGCCAGCTCAAAAGAAGTTGCACCAGAGCATGCATGCCGGTGCGAGGCCAACACAGAAGTGACGAGAGCACCTCGATGGCTCCCCGGAGCTGTTGCCTGCTGCCAGGCTGCATAATGCAACTTAGCCTTTCTGTGTTTTCGCGGATGCTAGTTTCTGTCCCATCGTAAGCAAGTCGAGAGAGCAGCACGCTGAGCATGACTCTATACTGTGAACAAGTGTAAGCAATAACAACGGCAGTGCAGATGCAAGTAATAATGGTAGTGATCATAGTCAGCATCAACACCAGCGCCATCGTCAGATCCCCTTCTACGACCAGCCTGAGGCTCCATTCAGGATGCGTAGGAGTGATTGGGGCATTCCTTCCCTGGAGTTGCTGGGGGTGATAGATGTGCAATGTACAGCTGTGCATGCTGAGAGCTCCAAGCGAGCCCGGCATGCTGCTCCAGAAAACTTAGGGGGCAGAGGGGCACCCACGTCCGCACATCGTAGGAACTCGATTGTGAGGCACGTTGAGGATGTTTTGCGCTTCTAAGCATGACTACGGTAGCGATTGTAGCGAGATCGGCAGGGAGCACGGGCACCGAAGTGGAGAAAATCAAGTGCCAAGCTGCCAGCCAGGCATAGCCAGGCTGTGAATGGCTGTGGCTCTAACTGTCGAGGAGAGGCTTGGCAAGCTGCACAAGTGCATGCAAGTGCAGGAAGACCTTCGACAAGGCTTTCGCTCAGCCAGCCGCTGAGCAACGCCTGTATGTGAAAGCTGCAGTTCATCATCCCGAACTTCGCTTGCTTGTCGTGGCTGCTCACTTCATATGCTTCTGGGAGCCGAGATTCCTGCGCCTTCGGAAACCCAACACTTGAGGCTTCAACATGGATCGCTTGAATCTGACATCTCTGAACCCTACTAGTTCGTAGAGCTGGCAACAGCCTGAGCGTGCCCTTCCAGGCACTTCAAGCTAGAGAGCCAAGTCTCAGAACTAAATATCAAGCTCAAAATCCTACTCTCTGGCGCCAGCAATGGCAGCGATTGTTTTGGCCGCCGCACTCAATTGGATCTGCGTCCTAGCCTCGAGCAACTACGGGGCAACTGAAGTGCAACCGGGCGCATCAGTACATGCGCCCTCCTAGAAGATGGAAATGTCAAGTGTTGGGGTGGACAGACCGATACGGTACTGGCCCAAGGGGATTCCACTGTCCGCGGCGACCAGCCGGATGAGATGGGGGATTTCTTGCCCCCCCTCGATTTGGGCACTGGACGAACTGCTACAAGCCTGACGACAGGCGGAATATTCAATGTGTGTAGTCATTGATGATGGCAATGCGAAGTGCTGGGGATGGAATGCATATGGCCAATGTGCAATCGGAACAAGTGCGGACGTCGGCGGTGTGGGCTTTGACGGAACTTCTCCTGTTGCCATGCTGGGCGCAGGCCGAACGGTGCAGCAAGTGGCTGGAGGCTGGTACCACATGTGTGCCTTGCTTGATGGCGGGAGTGTGAAATGCTGGGGCTGGGGAGGAGAAACGCTTGGGTATGGAGATACCACGAACCGGGGAACAAACGTTAATGAACTTGGAGAGAATCTACCAGAAGTTGACCTCGGGACGGGCAAGGTAGCAAAAGCACTCTATTCGGGCTATGGCTCCATCTGTGTCATCCTCACAGATGACTCGACCAAGTGCTGGGGGAAAGCTCCTGAGGTGCCATACGGAGACAGCGTCGTGCGCGGGACTGCACCCGGCGAAATGGGTGACAATCTCTCGACCATCGACTTCGGCACAGGAAGGCACGCAACTCACATCAGCACGGGTGATAACATCGGATGTGCTGTCCTGGATGATGGTGGTGTGAAGTGTTGGGCAGCCAGCAATGCAGCGGGAAAACTTGGACAAGACATCACTGGCCTGGCGATGGGAGATTCCTTTCCCCCCATCCGCCTGGGAACTGGAAAGGTTGCTGTCAAAGTTTCAACGAAGACTTCACATGCCTGTGCCGTTTTCGACGACGGTACGCTGAAGTGCTGGGGCCCCAATTCTAATGGCCAACTAGGGCTGGGAGACAGTCTTAATCGTGGTGAGACAGGTGTGGAGATGGGGGACAACCTCCCTGCTGTGGACGTGGGCACAGGCCGTACAGTCACGAGCGTCAGCGTCAGCGCCTCCTTTACATGCGCTGTTCTTGATGATGGTAGCTCGAAATGCTGGGGCAGCTCGGGAAGTAATGGACAGTTGGGACAAGGAGACAGCATTTCTCGAGGAGCAGCAGCCAACACGATGGGCGACTACCTGCCCCCGATTGACTTGGGCATTAACCCTGTGACATCTACAACAATATAACCGCCACAACATCTACGAGCTCAAGCGCTACAGCTACAACGAGTACCTCCACGTCAAAAACATCCTCATCCACAATAACGTCTTCTACCAGCTCTAGCACCACAAGCAGCTCGAGCAGCACAACCGGGACCGTTTCAAGCTCCAGCACAACGTCAGCGTCCGCCACGAGCTCAAGTTCCAGCACGTTGACCACATCTAGCACCACTGCGACTTGGTCATCAACACTCTCGAGCACGGCGACATTTACAACGAGCACCAGCTTCACAGCGACCAGCTCCATCACAACGAGCTCTTCAGCGACTGGCTCTACGACAACTAGCTCTACAACGACTCGCTCAGCGACGACAACCTCCACTTCGACAACCTCAACGACAGACAGCTCTGTGACAACAAGCTCCGCAACGAGTAGCTCCACGACAACAAGCTCCGCAACGAGTAGCTCCACGACAACTAGCTCCACAACATCCACCTCGACAACAACGAACTCCACGACGACTGCGTCCACATCAACAACATCCTTCACTACCAGCAGCTCCATCACGACAATCTCATCCAGTACCTCACAATCTTCGTCGTTGACTACAAGCATTTCTTCCACAACCTCAACTACGTCCACAACCACTTCTTCATCCTCCACGATCTCCTCCACTAGTGCTACAGAGTCCACAGTTACCCCCACCGAGCCGCCTCCTTTGGATGATCAGGCCTTTGCGCGGCTGGAGCAACAGAGAAAGGAGGAGGCTGCGGCAGCGGTGAACGCGCTGGACTCTGCCGAGGAGGCAGCAGTTGGTCAGTCGCTGCAGTTGTTGTCGTCCTTGCTGGAGAACAGCAACGCCACGGACGGGGCGGTTTTCCTTGCCGAAGTGTCTGTGGCCACTGATGCCGGAGTTCTGAAGGTTGTGGCCTTGTCAGCCACCTCGGTTGCGCCTGAGAGCAATGTCAGCGTCGGCGGCGAGGACGGGACCAGCGTCACCGTGCCGGGGACTGTCCTGCAGCAAGCCGCAGCTGCTGCCGGCTCGGGTTTAGTCTTGCTCAGCGTCACATCACTTTCGGAGAATGTCACGGACAAGATTGGCAGTGACGATGCCCGGTTGGGTCGGCGGCTAGCCACGGCGGCTTCCGCGCTCAGAGGGCAGTCAGTCAGCCTCAACTTCCGTGATGCAGAAGGGAGGCGGATAGAAGTCAAGAACCTGGAAACCCCCATGGAGATGGTGCTGCAAGTGGAAAACGAGAATGCTACCTGTGCCTACTATGACGAAGCAACCTTGAGTTGGTCAGAAGAGGGCCTGGAGACAGTTATGGACGGCATACCTGGGCAAATCACTTGCCGTACGACGCATCTCTCAATCTTTGGAGGTGTTCTACAATTTGTCCTCTCCAATGTCATAGCCACTTTGAAGTGCAGCACGGCGGCGCAGCTACTCTCTGCAGAAGCCCTCGCCATGCTGGGTACGTCTGCTTGGCTCAGCTACGGGCCCTCCGTGGTGATTTTCGTCTCCTTAGCTGTCTTCGCGATGGTTTTCGGCTGTGCTTTACGCATGGATCGCCGTGCCAACCAAGCCATCCCTTGGGAGAAGAAGGAGCCTGTTCTCCTGCGCAAGAAGACGACAGTTGCACAGTTGATTGAGGAGCTGCCTCCGGAGGAGCCGAAAACGTGCTGGGAGCGCATTAAAAGCGTCATCGGGGCGGCTGTTGACTGGACACTGTGGTTCATTGGCTTGCTCTTCGGATACGAAAACTTGGCTGAGGTTGTAAAGGAGTTCCTTCCCAACGCCCCGGTCTCCACCGTGAATCGATGTATCACCACCATCCATGCGCACAAGACCGGAACCTCCAGAGACAGCATCGACGGTGTCAAAAAGCTGTCCAAGACCTTCTCCCGCTCCATGAGCATGACATGACGTCGGCAATGTCCAGCAATGAAGACGATGCGTGCAACATACAGGGGAGAAGACCAAGCCTCCGAGAGTTTGGTTCGTCGGTTCTCACGACCGTGGACAGTGGCTTGAAATCTCACAGCAACGGGCTTCTTCCCTACGAGGAGATGAAGAAACATGGCACGCAAGCTGTGGAGAGCTTCCTCTCCAGCACCTTAGTTGCCCAATACCCAACCTTTAGACTTTTTTGGGGTCTTACAAGTCAGTCTCACGCCTTTCGCTGGGGACCGCGCTCATGACCCGACGTGCTTTAGACTTTTTTGGGGTCTTATAATTTAGTAGTAACCTGAAAGTCTAACTGTTTATTTCTCTGGCTTATTGGGGAAGTAAGGCACCTGGGTGAAGCGAATCTTGCTCCTGTTTCCAGCGCTGCACCCATGGTTGGAGACGGTGAGATTTAGCCTGTTCAACTCCCATGCCGTGCGCACGGCCCTGATCATCACAAAGCTGACAAGTGCAGCTGCTGTTGGCGCGCTCTTCTTTTCAAGTTCTTCCACAGCTCCAGATTCAGATCCAGACTGCCAGCCACCGACGGATTTGCTGGCAAGCATGGTCCAGACGGCCACCGTTGGCATCATCTCGGCCTTGCTCGGCGATCTGGTCATCTTTGCTTTGTTTCTCCTCCAGAGTCGATCTGCCGTGGACAAGAACGAGTGGAACACGCGTGAGAAAACAAAGATCTTGATGAAGTGGCGATGCAAGTCGTTTGTGTTTTGGAGCGTTTGGAGCTGCCACGCAGGCTTCAGCATCATCTATGTTCTGCTCTTCCTTGCGAATGTCAGCCTACAGGATGCCATCAAATGGTTGGAAAGCTGTTGTGTGAGTCTCTTGCAGGATCTCATCCTTGTCCCGCTGGCCGTGGCATTGATTCTGGCCACGCTCGCCAGTTTCGCAATCTGCTGCAGTCGAAAGGTGCAACACAAGATCGAGAACGACTGGCTTGCGGATGAAGAGTCAGAGCAGGATGACAATGATGACGAGCTGCAGGATGAGGCTCCAAAAGGCAGATGGATCGAACCAGGGGATGTGCAGGAGGTGGCAGTGGCCAGCGAGTCTTTGGTCTCTGTGACCTTGGCTGACGAGGAGTCGTTGCACTCCGTCCAGCTGGGAAACTCCCAGGCAGGCTTGAGAGACAGTGCACACGGTGAAACTGCTGAAGAGCAGAGAAGATCCACATCAGCTGTCTTGGTTGATCCGGAGGACGACTGTACATCAATTTATTCCGAGCATTACTGAGTCTTTTGGATCTCCCGAAATTTGCATGGCCGGTTGCCCTGTGAAAGGGGCACCGCAAAGCGACAATGAATTGCTGGAAACAACCACATGGATGAGCAAGCCTGAGAGATCGATTGCTTATAGAGGCATAGCATCGGAAGCCACTCACTTGCCAATGGTTCTTTCCTCTCGACCGGCGTACGCCAAGTGGAGTTACGTGTTGTAGTTTTGGCACGTGAACTGGCGACCCTGCACTCCGGCTCTTCCATGGGCTTGGATAGAAATACCAGTTGTACGGACTTGGCTATACTGCAGCCCAACAATGCCGTAGGGATTTGAAAGTCAAACCAGGCAGCCATTGATCATCTTAGTTTTGCTGGGCTTGTCATGTACTTAAGAAATGGAAGAGGTCTTGTTTCCTGGCATCATCGTTTCACCAAGAGGCCGGCCTTCTTCACCTGACATTTGCCACATACTTGCATTCACCCCAAATTTTCAGTTTGTTCAACGGCCGGCCTAACAAGGTAGGAGAGCATCCAAAGGTTATCTTCTTCAAGTAGGTCTCGCAGGTAAGCTGACTGAACCTACCTAGGCGTCCCAGCCTTTATGATACTCTTAGGGCTGTACTGCAACCCAAACCCGACAGTTGGCTTATCTCACCATCCAGGTCTCACTGGAGGAGCCTAGAAGTACACAGGCACCCCGCTGCTAATCGCACCCTGCTAGTGACTGTGAGGCCGCGCATCTCTGCTTGGGTCCCAACACTGGTCTCCTCCTACTCTTGGTGTTTGGATCTGTTGAGCCACCACAGCTCGAGTCTATGCCGACGAAACTCGAGGTGTAGGTTTCACCTCCAACCGACTAAGCACCACGCACCTCGCCTGGTCCGAGAGTGAGCGCCGAAACCCTGCAGACCAGAAGTTCAAACGGTAGGGTCTGGGCCTAGGCCTCCCTCCCGTGAATGCATCCATAGAGGGACGGCTATGCAGGTGTTCCTGTCTGGCGGTATTGATGAGTTAAAAGGACAGGGGCACCTGGCGAACTGATCCCGGGCCACACACGCACGCCCCGCAAAATTGCGGGAGCTGTCGTTTCTCCGCCAGAAGGCAGTGCTGAACAAAACGGGAGCGCCGTTGCTCAAATCTGCCTCAATCTGCAGTAGGCAGTGACTCGTAATTTCTGGCATCGCAACATGACACCAGCAGCAGCTCTGGCATTGCAGCAGGCGCTGTGTCGTGGAAGCGTCGCTACAGCTGTGCTCGTTTGCTGCCTCTCCGAGGTTGCAGATAGCTTCCACCGAGGCCGTGGCTATCTCAATGTTCATTCTTGTTCGAGCACGACGCCAGTTGCAAATATCGCATAACACGGAGAAGCTTCCAAGATGCGCAGTCCTGATGGACAATTCCAGAAGCACTGACAGCAATTTAGGCAGCTTCTTGAGGCCACACGGCCCTGCGGCGATGGCGACATCGAGGCCAAGCTACGTTCACTCTCTGATGACACACTTTCCAGGCTGAGGCCACGGCTGCTTACTGCTGGTGTCTTTACCACATCCCACTTCTTTTTTTCAATTTTCTCCCTGCCCCCCATTTGGCAAACGGTGCCTCGTCGCAAGGCAGTTCTGAGCCTGTCGCAAGCCCTGTCATCTTGCGGGCTTTTCACCTCAGAGGCAGCCGAGCGGCTACTGCTGCAGCAACAAGCATGCCGCATGCATTCAAGTTTTGACCTTGAGAGGTACATGCGGAGACGGAGAAGCTTCTCAAAATGTTGGGGCGAAGGCTTTCACCCCAATTGAGTGCAAGATATTCTGGTGCGTATCTGGATCGTGGTTTCAGCCTCGGCCTACCGTGAGCATTGTCTTGGCCCTGGTTTTGGCCTGCCTAGTCCAACATCCCCACCCCCAAAACTTATCTCAATGTACGCTCTTTTCAGAATGTTTGCTGGAAAAGCTGCAGGCTGGACGGTGGCGGCAGTGGAGAAACAGCTTCAGCTGACTCTGATGGCACTCAGGAGGCTTCAAGCGGTGCAACTCAGCAGCCTGAAACCTGCTTGGCGACTTGGGCATGCAGCCTGCAAGCTGCTGCAGGAGGACTTCAGCTTCGTGGACGGCATGGATCCTGTCATCCTGCGTGCGGACGTAGGCATGTCAGACCTGTGCACATACCATCTCATGACTGCCAAATAAATCTTGGGGCCTTTGGTTTGAAAGCTGCGCCTGCCAGATCTGGTGGCACTCTGGAAGCCTCCAAACTGGACCGGGTGTTCTCAATGCTGTTGATTAGGTCCTTGGGCTTCTACACTCGGGCGGCAAACTGCGTCCAAGTTTGGGGCGAGCTGTGCTGTATGTCAGGACGGTGTCTGTCTCCTCGGAGGGCACTACTTTGCGTGCCCAAGCGAAGGGCAAGAATCCTACAACGGAGCTCGCGATGCTTGGAAAGCTTGGCACTGTGCAGTGTATAAGAGCCTGCAAACTGCGTTGTGTTGACATTCCAAGGTGCCCAAGATGCGGGCCTGCCATTGCAAGACTGGGTTCTTCCCACTCGGTCAGTCTTTGGGCGTGTTCTGTAACATGGCACAGGCGTATGGTAAAACCGCGGGGCAGCTATGAAGCATCACTTGGCATTGGCTCAGTCGACTGATGCTGCAAGGGCAGCAACAGTCTGGAAATGTTAGTTGACCATCTCATACCTACGGCCCTAGCCGGGCAAAGACGCAGATCTGATCAGAAAATTACGACAGCAGGATAACTGCAAGCTTTGGCAGACGTCACGACTTGATTGCTGGTTGGTGGTAGACCGACACTTGTGGCGAGTCTCGCGATCAATCATGGCGAGGAGCTGAGCGCAGCGTGGTGTTGCTTTGTTTTTCCTGGCACAACGGACAACTTCCTAGTTCGTATTTTGGAGTTACATCAAGCAGTTCAGGCAATCATGACGGCAGCCCCGTGCTCAGACGTCTGTTGGAATAGGGTCCTTTGCATCGGTCCGAACCCAGGAGGCGCCTTCAGAATCCGGCCCGCCGAAAGTCACGGAAGCGGGCGGCTGCCTCAACACGACTAGGGTCGCGATGTGTGTGTACATATGTATACACACATTGCATATAACTCTATCTTGCATACTATGTATATGTATACGTATCACTGCATATGCCCATATGCACATGCGCTAGCAAATAGCCAGGTGTGTGTATATATATATA